GCGCGCCAGCAGCGCGTCCCCACGGCCTGCCTTTCGCGGAAGGCGCCCTGCTCCGTGCCCCGTGGTGTCGGGCGTGCCTTCCTGCTGCAGCGCATGTTGCGAGGGCTGCAACTGCCTTCTTTTTCGTGTTCGTTTTTCATCTGCTGCATCCCGTGACTCTCTCGACGGGATCGGATTTTCATTGGTCCGGGCCAATCGCAGCCCGCCAACCGCACCACGCGGCCTGCTCCGTTCCTGGCCCGATTCGGGGCAACCCGTCCGCAGACAAAAGACACCGACCGACACGAGCAGGGGGCCCGACGCAAGGCCTCGGACGCGCTGGTTCCATGGTTGAGGGTCCCGGCACCCGCGTGCTGCCCTCGTCGTCAGCGTCCTCCACTGTGCTGCTGGGACTCTGGGAGCCCCTGGCGGCAGCAGCGTCACCGGGAATTGACGGCGGCGGGGGCGCTACGCGGAAGGTTTGAAACGGGCCCTGCAGCGACACAGCTCAACAGCACATCATCCTGATACTAAACCGCAGCACTAGGTCGAGTCAGGCAAAGGACGCAGCAATCACAATCTGGTCCATGCCCGCGGGTTGCGATGCGAATGGCCGTTGGGAGGGCGGGAATTCCTCCAGCGCTGAGGCCACCCTTGGGCCGGGGCCATGTGGGGAGCTGCCCTCGCCCATCTAATTGTTCGCGCCCATCGCCTCAGCGTCCGCCGTCGAATGGGATCGCCATGATGTGCGCCGGCGCCGTCTCACTGGCGAGCGCCGGGCAGATCTCCAGCAGCGCTGTGTCCTCCTGAAGACCGTTCGCAGCCTCTTGCGGTGCAAACGCCTCGTGTGGCCCCTCCCAACCCCTAATAATCGCCCCCCTGCCTGAGAAGCGCGGTTGTGGTGGACGGAGGGTGAGTGCGCGATGGGATCTCTGGGGAATGGTGGGCCAAGACGGGCCAGGAAGCAGATTGCAGTCCAGATTAGGGGGGCAAGCAGCCCAGGCAGGCAGGTTGCGAGGTTAATTAATTAGCCCGTCGTGGTCAAGGTTATTCCTGTTTATAATAAGATAACGCCTGTGCCCCCCTTCCGTCCGCCCAGGTCTTCCCTCTTCCTCCTGGATTTGGCTTCCCCCCTTTCGAATTCGGTCTTTTTTTTCTCTGCCTGCCTTGCTCCAGCGAGGTTCTGGAGGCGCTCTGCACGGCATGTGGCGATGGTTGTCCCGCTGCGTTCCTGGCATCAGCATCATCGTCTTGCTGTTGCTGCTCGTCTTCGCCTTTCCTGACACCGCCAAGTGGTCGCCCAGCTTGCCCTGGCCGGGTCGAGTGCCGCCGACGACGCCGGTCGACAATGGCTCAGGGAAGACTCCGCCTCCATTGAGCCTGGCGCAGAAGCTCTTTATCGCGTACACGCTCATCGTCCACGTCAATGCCCAGACCTTCGCCATGCGCCTCTCATGGGCGCTGTGCCGCCTGCTGAAGGAGACCCGGGCCGTGTTGCGACGACGACCGTCTGCCAAGACCATTGCCGGCCCGGATGGGAGTGAGACACCGCAGTTCGCCGACAGTCCGCTGGCGACGCCGACATCCACGTCCTCGCCGGAACTGACGTTTGACGACCTGGGCCGACTGGAGGAAGGCGAGGATGGCGAGGTGGTGCACGCCATCATCCTGCCCAACTACTGCGAGGACCTCGACACGTTGCAGACCACGTTGAGCGTGCTTGCCAGTCATCCCCGGGCGGCCACCCAGTACGAGGTTAGTCCGTCGTCGAGCAGAGTTGAGCGGGAAAGTGAGGCGCTGACTGCGAAACCAGGTTTATCTCGCGATGGAGCAGAAGGAGACCAAGGCCCCCGAGAAGGCAGCAACCCTGATCTCCATGTTTCAAGGCCAGTTCCGGGATATCTGCGGCACGTTCCACCCGGCCGGTCTGCCGGGCGAGATTGCCGGCAAGAGTTCCAATGTTGCCTTTGCCGCCCGGCACATTATCGACGCGCACCGGCGCGATGAAACCGTGAATCCGCGGGACGTCATCATCACGGTCATGGATGGTAGGGTTTCCGCGTGTTGATCGAATTGCACCGCTGACTTGGCTCCTTTCTGTTCAGCCGATACCCATCTCTCGCAGGACTATTTCACCGAAATCCGGCGGCTCCACTACCGACACATCGACGAGGCGGACCGCTCATTCTATGCCTCGCCCATCATCTTCGATCGGAACTCGAATGAGGTGCCTGTCTTCGTGCGCTGTGCGGATCTCATGTGGGGGTTTGCCGGATTGTCGGCCATGTATCCCGGAAGCCCAATCACCATCCCCACGTCCGTCTACTCGCTGCCGCTGGTCCTCGCGGAGAAGGTTGGTGGGTGGGATGGTGATCCCACGGCGATTGGCGAGGACATGCACATGCTGCTCAAATGCTACTTCCAAACGGGCGGTGACATTATTTCTCGGGTGATCTACACCCCGGCCAGCCAGTGCAACGTCTCCAGCAACGACGGCGAAGGCTGGCGGCGTTCGCTGGCGACCTGCATGGCTCGGTATCGCCAGGCGCTGCGGCACATGTGGGGAGCGCTGGACACGGGCTTTGCCGTGCGGCAGAGCCTGGGCCGGCTGACGGGCAAGGGGCAGCCGCGAATGCGCCTGCGGCTACGACACCTGGTGCTGTTCCATCTGTTGTGGGAAGCCCATTTCCTTCCGTGCCATTTCACCATCTTGCTGCTCTTCTCTTCTATCTACACCTTTGTGACGCCGCCATCGCAGATCCACCCGATGCTGGCCTGGACCTTCTGGTTCACGGGCGTGCTGCGAGCGGTGTCGTTTGTCTGGATGAACATCTGCCTGACGCTGTACGACCGCTGGCATGCGCTGTGTGTCAGCGCGCGCGCCCGGGACATGGCGCGGGCCGGGCTGTTGGATGCGGGATTCTCGTTCCGGACGTGGTGGCATGGGAAGCACCTCATCGAGCGGTTGTGCTTCCCTATTGCCGGAACGATATTCGGATCGATTCCGTCGGTGCATGCTGAGATTTCGCATTTCTGGACCGAACGGCTGGTATACCGGGTCAGCAAGAAGCCGACTTTCACCACCAAAATGACTGCCGCGTTTCCCGCGTAGCGGGTCCTTCACCTGTAGACTTTTTTTTTTGTTTCTATATATATTTTGGACGGTTTAGCCATTTTGGAGATCTCGGTGTTTGGCTTGATTGGATACACTGTACAAAACCTGCTACGGAGCGAGATAGTTCCCTTGCTCCGTGTTTCAGGGCGGATTTAGGCCCCGGAGTTATGCGGTGACGGACTGGCTGACTAGCGGACTGGTTGGCCTGACACGACGATGTATATACATAATAGACTAATCGTAATGTGGGTAATGATGTGTATGCTGCAAGCTGGATTGTGCGTGAGCACTTGAATGTGGACTGGTATGTCTGAAGTATGAACCATCGCTGTTCATTTTGAGTGTACGAGCATGATATTTTTTTTAAACTCAATTACTGGTCATCTGTGTACTTGAACTCCATGATCAATTCATGCATAATTCAATTAACTCGATGATTATCTAGATTCATCACATCACATCATCTCATCATTTCTCATCTCACAAGACAGAAAAACAAACAAACAAACAACAGAAAAACAGAACGAAAAAAAAAAAAGAAAAAGAAGAAGAACAAGAAGAAGAGGATGAACGAAAAGAAAGACTACGTCTCAATCATCCTAGCAGTAAACGTGGTCTCAAAACCCAACTGCCGGACAAACCATGCATTGTGTAATTTCCATTCTTTGTCGGGATTCGCAAGATGGACCTGCCATCATCGTCGTTAGTATCATCATCATCATCATCATCATCTATCATCTATCAAGCCTGGCCTGTGAGGATAAATAAAACGTACATCGAATCTTCGCAGAAAACTCGGCACCAGCTTGTAAATCTCCATCAGGCTAATGTTCTTCCCGATGCAGGTGCGCGAGCCCGCGCCGAACTGGAACATGGTGCCGTTCATGGTCTTGAGCTGCTCGTCGCTCGCTTCCAACCAGCGCTCCGGTCGGTAGGAGTCGACGTCTGCGCCAAAGATCTCCTCCCGTCGGTGGATCACCCATGCGCTGCATCCGACGATTGTTCCGCCTGGCACCCAGTGGCCTGCGATGTCCATGCCTTGAGGCGGCACGACGCGTTCTAGCGGTAGGCCTGCGGCAGGGTGCACGCGGAAAGCCTCTTTGATGCAGGCATCGAGGTAGGGCAGACGCTGGGACTCGGACCACGAGACGCGTCCGGACGGACGGTTCTCGATCAGGCCTGTCTTGACGGCTGTGTCGAGCTCCTCGCGCAGGCGTCGCAGACAGGATGGGTTCTTGAGCAGGTAGTAGAAGACAGCCGCTAGGCTGATGGCTGTCGTCTCGGAGCCGGCGAAGGCCATGGACACGGCCATGGTCAGGACGCGCTTTTCGGTCATGAAGTCTGGTCGCGCGTCGCGGGCTTTGAGGAACATGGTGAGTAGGTCGTCCCTTGACGATGCGGTGGCAGTCGAGACTTTGCTGGATAGACGCTCCTGCATCCTAGCGCGAGCGAAAATCGCAACAGCGAAGGAATTGTCAATAATCCCCCAGCGCGACAGGGTATTAAGGATAGGATTCTTCCACAGCAAGGAGTCAAGCCAGGGCATCTGGCCCACAGGCCCCGCATAGTCAAAAGTACGCGCAAGCTGGGCAATAATGCCATCGATATCCTGATTCTTCTCGATGAAGCCATGGCGCTTGCTGTAGGTGATGCTGCCGATGACATCGAAGGCGAAATACTGCAGCCAGCGCGCAAAGTCGCAGGTTTTGCCAGTGCTGGCGTAGATTTTCGCCGTCTGGTTCAGGAACAGGTCGATTGTCTCGTCGACGAGCGGCTCGTACTGCACTAGCGAGCTCATGGCGAACGCGTGGTTGACGGCTCGGCGCAGGTTGGCGTGGAAGACCTCGTCTGTAGTCGAGAAGAGGGAGGGGAGCAGTTCGCCTTTGGAGGTGGACATTTGGACGGGGTAGAAGGCGGACTGTCAACAAACAAACACCCTTAGTAACTGGTCTGCTATCCAAGGAGAAAAGAAGGAGGTCTGTATGTAGGGGGCTACCTTAACAAACCCCTTATTCAACCCATAAATAACCTTGAGGGCATTCGGGTCCGCAAAGGACAGCACATTCGGCCCCAGCCGGACGACATCGCCATGCTTGCGATGCAGCCGGATATGCGTGACTTCGGGCCGGCGGCCGTACACATCGACGAAGCGCCAGAGATGGGTGAATTTTGCCAGGAACGGGCCCGGGTAGCGGTGCAGGCCGTTGTGGAAGTATTGTGAGAGGAGGTAGGCCACCGCCAGGAAGGGGAGGATGTAGATGTAGAGGGTGGAGGTGTTGAGGATGGAGGTTAGGAGGGACATGCTGACAGATATAGATGTATGATGTGATAGAGGAGGATTACCGGAATGAGAAAAATGTCAAGATGGAAGAGGGAAAGAAGAAGAAAGGAAGATCTATGACATGCAAAGCAAGTTCTGTTCTATACGAGGACAAGCAGACCAGCTCATAGATAATAATTAAATACCATCCTCACATCAGTCGGCCGTCTCAGTCCATCGGACGAGAGAGCGATGAATCTGAATTTGAATGACTGACTGACTGACAGAGTGGATGCATGCTCGGCAGTTGCGTGTCGAGCAGATCCGATCGATAGCCAGGCCAGGTGTCGCCTTAGCTAAATGGCTGGGCTGCGTCAGATCGGTAAATCGGTAGATATGCTCGCTCGTGGATCCGGCGAGAGGGCAGTAATTGCCTACCTATCAGGGATTGAATGGTTATTCGTTCGGATGAGGAAATGCCGACGCCTGGCATACATCTATGGACAGTACATACAGGTAGATATCATATCTTGTGACTATTATTTTTTTTCTTGCTATAGTATAGTAATAGCATCATGATGGAGTACTTGATCCTGTAAGTAGGTGATACATAACTGAATACGTTCTTTCTACCGAGATTCGAGAGGAGGAAAAACAAAGGAAAAGCCTGTTCGTGGACTTGAGGCTATCTCTGATACGATATCGATACGATATGCTTGCTTGCTAGCAGATAGGTCCTAAGGAAGAAAGGAAACTACCTACTCATCGGCAACACCTCAGCCGCAATCTACCGAGATGAGCGCCAGCGCCAGCGTCAGCGTCTACCGTGTCATCTGAGGTCGTGCTGAATGACAAAATGCTGCAGAATGATAAATGCCCGGTAATTGCCACTGGATCAGTCGTTTCATTGGATTGGCTAAGCTCCCCACAATTAGCAGCTGAGCCATCTTCCCCGCATCGGCAAATAGTAAGCTAAGTATGTATTACGGAGTAAATTAATTAAATGAATGAAGACCCCGCATTTTTCCATCCCTGACGTAACACAAGTTACACGGCATGACGTGAATAATCGTGAAGAATTTTTGACTGGGGTTCGATACGATACGATCGCTTGTCGACATGTTTACTTTGCAGCTGTAGACTACTGCTATGCTACTACATAGCATCGATGACATGTATGTACTGTATGTAGTGGATATGATATGGATATATTTTACTCCCCTTGTGTACTCTGTATGTAGGTGTGGATGACCCACTATTGACCCCATGGGGAAGGAAGAAATTATGTAATTTTTAAGTAGATAGATAGAATTCTTCAGTTCACCTAGTACCTAGGTAGAGTTCTTCTCCGTCCGTGACTTATTTCGCTTGTTCGGCATCTACTCCGGAGTAATACCGTACCTACGGAGTATGTCATTATTCTTGTACGACTCGATTCTATCCTTCTTCTACAAACCTTCTAGTCTCTTCTCTTCTGGGGTGTTGATGATGGTAATGGCGCTCCACTGTCTTAGTTGTCTGGCCTTCGGCAGTTGTGGAGAGTGATTTGCCGATGATGGGGTAATGTGACTTGCCCTGAAGAATACCTGCAGAACATGGAATAATGTACTTCAATTTATGATGTAAAGTGAGAGATGGATGAATGATTAAGTCGTTTGAATGTTCTGCTGATTGAGGAGGGTGAATATCTTGTCGATTCTGTTGTGTTGGTGGAAGTATGGACTGTAGTACTTAGTAATGTGGAAGATATATATATCGAGATATATATGTCTCGTTACATGTACGAACTGACCTGTATACATGGAGTACTGCGAAGGATCAATGCATGCCCATTGAAAGAAAGATCTAACTTGTATCTAAGAAGAGGAGCAAGTGTAATGTCTTAGGTGTAAAGCTCTGCTTTTCACTCACTTTATAGAGTGTCTGATTGATAGTAATATCAATATATTGCAATTCAACATGAATATAATAATCCCTGCCTTGCTGGTCAATTGAGTTATTATATTTGACAAATTAGTTATTATATTAATTCTCTCGCCTGCTCAAGAACACCGTGTTTCTCATCGACAAATTAAATAAATTTCGACTCTTTGACTGCGGTCAATCCACTTCAGGGCTACTGCTACTCATTCATACTTCTACGAACCGAAATGTCTCTTACAACATAAATCTGCCCGTACAGGTCCGTAGCCGAGCAGAACACGCGGAAAATATCCAGCTTGCGCCTCTTGCGCGCGTCGTCCCTGCACAGCTTGTCCAAACGCGCCATCGCAGCGTCCAGACAACTCTGTTCGTACTGCGCGAGACGAAAAAGGACTTCCTTGGCGGTCCTTTCGTCTTGATCGGTGTGGTTATCCGCAAACTCGGGAAAATCGATCGAGTTGAGATTCTGGTCCTCTCTATCCCGGGCCACCGATCCAAAATCGTTGTACATGCGACACATGCTCGCCAGATGCTGGCCCACGTCGCTGGCAATGAACTTCTCCTCTGCCCCCTCGAAACAGTCCCGATCTTTGTCGCCAAGGAAGCACGCCACCGACGCAAAGGCGTACGGACAGGAGCTGTTATCCGCCGCCGTCGACCGCACCCAGTGGAAGAAGGACTCCCATGTCGTTGCTGTCTTGCCCTGTCGCGTCTCCTGCAACAAGCGGCTGTCTTCGGTCTGGGCTACCTGCGCCAGGAGATAGCGCTTCAGCTCTCGTCGCAGGGACGCTCGGTCGAATTCGCTGGCCTGGAGCACACGGGGATGTGTCAGGAAGTACCTGACGAACTTGGTCAGTGGGCCTCGGATGTCGTCTTCTGTGGTATCTGCTTCGCCTGCTGCTGGCCGCTGAAAGACTTCATCGATCATCTGGCTCAGGCCAGACAGATCCCCTGCGTAGCGTCTCCCTGCAGCCTCCATGTGCTCGTCCGCCTGGTAGTTCAGGAACGAAAGGACCATCATCTCGAACAAAAAGTCCGCCGAGGCAAACGTGCGATTTCGATTGCTGCATCCCGTCCACGTGAACGGTATGTACTCGAAGTACTTGTCCTCTGGCATGTTTTTGCGGGGGAATACATCCAGCCGGCGCCTGCGGAGGGCCGGCTGGAAGAGATAGCCTTCGAAGAGGGAGGCACGTAGCTGCCACTCGGGCACGGACGCTAACAGCGGTGTTTGGCGATAGAACGGGATGTAATTCTCGATTCTGGATATAGTGTGCTCAGAGGGCTCGAGGCTGCCGGTGCGGATTCTGTGCAGTGCCGTGGGTGTGCGAAGAGCAGCAAGGACGTACGACTCGGACAGCACATCGGAGGCATAGGTCACTTTTGCAATCCAAAGATACCCGGGTTTGTCGGCTGGTGAAGACTGGAGGAATTCTCGTCCACGGGCGATAGCGAGCTTCAGCTCCGACGCGAACAGTTCCCAAAAGGGGAGAGTTGACGCTTTTAGCAAAGTGCATATGGCGTACGACGTCTCTTCGCGAGAATGGTTCCATGAGCCATCATCTTCTTGACTCAGCATTATGCGATGGACAGACTGGAAAAGCAGGATATATGCTCTGTCGCGGATCAGGTCGTCCGGGATGGCGGACAGCGGTCCATTACTCCACAGCTCTAGCAGGTCGGTGAAGGCTTGGACCATGAGCATGATGGAATAGTACCTGGATAAATTCTGCAATCGGTCAGTACTGTCTCGAAAGAGTCCCGTGGCAATATTAATAGATAAACATGCCCACTTGTCCCTTACAAAGCCATCCGTTTCCCACGCCAGCTTGCAGAGAAAACGAGCGCATTTCTCAATCTGGGGACAGTACTTTGCAGGATCCGACACGTGCAGCAGGGCAATAAGCACGTTGAAATTGGCGCTGAAGCTTGGATCTCTCTCAAAGGCGTACGTCCGAAAGTGGGTGAGTGTTTCGTACTCTCGGATCAGGGAATCAGGGGACACTGCCTTTCCCAAACAGTTCAGGGTCAAGATGGCTTTTGCGGTGTCGTCTGCGTCGGAGCCGAGCTGGGGGGCTAGATGTCATCGTCAGTCAGCTCTGTCATGAAGAGTCTCGCTGCAAGATCGCGCATCATACCAAATCCCAGCAGGCCCTGTTCCTCCTCAAAGCCCCGTTCCAGAATCGTCTCCATTTTATCCAGTGCTGACGAGGACAGATCTTCGCGGGTGAATCCCGCCTCAAGCAAGGTGGACAGGATCTAGCAGGATGATCAGAGGCGCCAGATGAGACAAGAGGAGCAACGTACCCAGGTGAACGTGAAATACGTTGTCGGATACGCGCCAGGCCACCTCCATTTCCACGCTCAAAGACATGGCGGAGATACGCCTCGGCAGCATCATCCCATCTGGATACGTACATCAGATACGCCGCCGTCGAGGACGGCGATCCCATCATAGACCCATGGACGGTATGATGCGCGAGGCGATCAAAGTCGGCTTTTCCGACGAAGGCCTCCAGCGAATGCAAAGCCGTTGTCTTGACAGGCGAGTAAAGGACCTCGGGCTTGAACTTGGCGAGTTTGATGCGGTTGATTCGGTCCAGGGTGTTCTTATCAGGAAAGGTGAAAGAGATCCCTTCCTTCTCCAACAGCTCTAGCAGAGCAGGCACGAGAATCTCAAAGCCGACGTGCTGCGTGTTTTCTACGTCCCATTCCTGGAGTTGCTCGTCAAGGCTGGCAGTGGCATGGACAATCCGGTTATTCAAATCCTGCTGAGAGAAGGATTGCATCTGCAGCGGCTCCGAGAGGTGTCGTTTCAGCGAGAGGAGGGAGGCCGCCGTATTCAAGATGCCATCAATTGTAGGACCTCCGACCTGCCAGCCGCCATTCTCGCCCTGTCGATCTAAAAGATAATCGAACGCTTCGGGGAAGAGCCACTGGCGATGTCCGTCTACTTCCTTCTGGATGAGAGATACCCAGGCCGTGTCGTAGATGGAATCGCTCATCAATCCGACACCATACCTCTCGGTGTAGTTCGAAACTGTCTTCTCGAGCAGCTGCCTCGCTTGGGATGAGAGCGTGTCCATGGAGGTATCCGTAGTGTTTGGAAGGGGATCCATCAATGTGACATTATCATCTGCAGAGCGCGGTGATTGTACTCCCCGAGAAGGCATTTGGAAGATTGCTCGAATTATTTATATGCATGTCTTCAGCACAAACCAACGGCAAATTCATCCTGCCGATGCTCCAGGATTGCATGGCGTAGCAGGAGTCCAGAACGTTGAAAGACCCTTCTATCATTAATCAATGATAAGTGGCAGAGTCTAGGTCTGTGATGGACCACGGACGCGTCAGTTTCTCGTATTTTAGGGATAAGCTAGTCAGTCAAGCTGAAAGTATAAGTGTCTCGTCGGAGGCGCATTGACCTAGGCATTACATGGCAATGCTTGCTAACCCCGAGACGTTGGGACTGCAATGCCCCCATCCGCTCGCATGCTCAGACGAACACATGCTTTGAGTCGAAAACGAGAATCTAGACCGTTGACATCCTGGGAAGAGAGAATATGACCGAAGTGGGAAGCTGAGGGGCTAGTATGGGCTCTGATGCTACAAATCTACAAGAACATATGGTGATCTCTGTTAGAATGGCGTTTGAGGAATCTTCAATTAAGCCTCCAAAGAAAGGCCCATTGTCTGAGAAAAGACCAGATATCTGGATACGAATATCAAGCAGGTATATACCTATGTGTGCACACACATCATTTATATACATCTGCATGGAGATCGCTAATCCAAAGAATATAGCTGCGAACATGTCCCCCTGCAGACAGCTCTAAGTAAGACAAACCTATAGCAGATCGATTTTTATACCCTCTATCAGTGCGACACTGCAGCAGGGATGAAGTGACGACCGTCTGGCGCTACTTGAGACGTCAAAGTCCCGGTCTAGGCTCTCCTGATATCCTCTGAGGCGATGCCCTTGGCCGGTGCACTGCTCAACCTGTGATATCCACTCGATTGACGCCCTGTCCATCGCCTGAGTAGTCCTTAATCTTTTCCGCAGAGATCCATTTCAGAGAATTGATCCAGACCCGGAAGAGCGTTCCGTCCAGACAGACTTGCTATCCATCCATCCTCCTTGACATGGATCCATAGCTGGACACGCACCATGTGATGTTTCACCAGTCGCCATGCCCCAAAGGCCCAGAGTGGTCTTCCCCCAGTGAGTGAGTGGGTACTACAGAGAGGGAAGCTTTGACTCGTCGTTTGTATTACAGATACTAGGAGTGCGAGTGCTCGGAGAACCGACTCGTAGCATATTCGGAATCTGCTTGTAGGCGTTGGTGAACTACAGCCGAACACGAAACCACGTCCGTTACGAGAGCCCGATCAGGAAGCCTGGTATCAGACTGGAGATCCCATTCCTGGGTAAAATAATTTGCTATCTCTTCTCGAGGAAGCTGGCACTGAATCTCTCCCACACCCTTAGGGATGAGTGAGGGTGTAGGGTCAAACTTAACATGATGAGTTGTTGGATAAGCCTCTGATTCATTAACTGGTGTTTAGAGACTGTGAGAAAAAAAATATTATGGATATATCTGGCCCTCTGTCCTTGGGAAAGCGTGTCAGAGCCTCTATAGTGGAAAAGATTGGATGGTCAAAAGAGTAGTTATCATGGCGCAAGAGTCTGCTTGGTTAAGAGAAGGAAACCAGTACAGGAAATACTTCAACCGTTCGGGGAAAAAAAAAGAAGGAGAGTATGTCCTTACCGTGATTTCGACATTATCTCCTGAGTAAGGAGGGTGTGACGACCGCGTTGAGCTTCCTTAAGCTTCCCATACACTTTCGGCTGGGGAATATACGTCCGTCTGTCTGCTGTGGCATCCCACCAGTTCGGTTCGCCTAGCCCAAGAGAATGGGTGGGATAATAAGCCACCGAGTTACACAACCCTAGTCGCTATGCAGGCAATGGGCAATAGGGCAAGGTATAGCACCACACCTGAGATGTGATGGTCAGACTGCAACCGGCACATCCGATTCGTCAGAGTTAATAATGTTATCACCTCTATCTGTTTTTTTCTTGCCGTCGCTTTATAGTATGTGTGAAGAGAGGGGGAGATGAGGGGGTGAAGAAGTCATAATTAATTAAACCGCTCTTCGAGTCAAAATTGCTTTATAGGTTTTCTTCCTGTTATGTTGGATATCCTCATATAAACTACATAACAAGGAATGGCATCCCTGTAGAGAAAGGGAAAAAATGAAGATGCAATTCTGTCCGTCGTTATTTGTGACACATTAATAGCTTGACAGGGGTGTCCCGTCAACCTGGATCATCCCAGCCGTTGGCGTTCTTCTGTCATATCCATGTCTTACATTAGCCCGGGCCCGATCGCAATTGAGAATGGATAACTTTGACGATGTTGAATGCTCATCGTCTATTGAATTACTCACAGTAGTGGAACTCAGAGTTTTGATAAATGACTTGCATATTAATTATGTAAACTCAAGACAGAATAGAGGGGAATATTGGGGATTTAGAAGATTATAGACAAAACTGTTTACATTCAGATGATTGATTCTTAATACGCGATCAGATTACACACACCCCCCGACTTAAGGGAAAAAATCGCTCTTTGACAGACTATTCGGTCGAGGTAGAATTCCAGATTTCCCAACTAAGTTTTTCATGGCTTTGTGGCTGATGACAATGGTCAAAATTATTTTCTGTTTCTGTTTGCTGATAGTTTTCCCTCGCTGGAGAACACATGTTGCAGACTTCTCTACGAATTAGATGTCATAGCATTCCTTTCTTTTTTCATATGTGGTCAAATGCCTCTGTGATACTACATGAGAAGCAGATCCTAAGATCTATTTGTTGCCGAAATTGCTGATGCAGACCACCCAGGCTACGGGGAGCTTGACAGACAATACTGAATTGAACACTGTGGAATTATCTTGTAGGAAGTATAACCCTCTCTTACAATTAGATCAGCAATTAGACAAATGGTGTATGTACAAGAAATCAACAAGAGATCTCAGGGAGATAAAGCGTTAATATTTTCGTTGCAGATGAGGAAAAGCGACGGTGAGTCATCTGACGAGCACCAGCCCTAGCCCTAAGTCCTAATGTCCTATCTAAGTTCACCTGTCTGAACTGTCAAAGTGAGCAGCAACTACCGATTTTAAATAGATTTTCGACAGATAGATGACTTGAACTCTCTAAAGATGTGATTCTGCATGTTCTCCTTTCTATTTCTACATCCAAGAAGAATCCTCGAGCAAATACTACTTTCAACTTAGGTAAGATCATTAACGTCTCTATACCATCTTCTAGGCTAGAGGGTTGTCGATAAAGTACTAATATTTTAGACAGCTAGGGAACTGTTCGCATATTGACAACAACTCTTCATTATATTTTTTTTGGCAATGATCGATTAATTACATTATACATTGTGTATCGTCTTCCTTATTCTTAGGAGATAGTGGTTGCATTACCATCTATGTACCGTACATTCTGTATGGAAAGTAACCAAAGACTGGTGTCGGAACCTGTTGAAGCAAATGTTAAACACAGACATTTAATTTGGATACTAGGACTTATACGATAGAAGGACAAAGGAATTATGGTTGAAGAAGCCATAAAGGAATCAGCTGATTATAATCCCAATGACCTAAGGTATTGAGGTCGGTCAAATTTCATCTTTGTCTGATAACTGTTGGCTTCATAGGAACAAAGAATATAGAATGCGAATTGCAGAAGAGATCCACAATGCAGTTGAGAATCTACGTAACAAAGAAGAAGAAGTTACCTCTGGTCTGACAGAAAACATAAAAAGAGAATAATCAAGCGCAAAGATCCAGTATCAGCAAAAGGAATAGTCGAATATTACCGGCTAAAAGGAGCTTTCAAGTGACAGTAAGTCAATATATTCCTCCATAAAGCAATAACGAGAATATAAAAACCGTTCAACATGGGCTTCATGTCCATCTGTCTTCCAAAGTCAAGAGAGACAAAAGGATTGAAAAATCAGCGAAGCTATCGGCAATTATACCAGCAAACGACTACTTCTGTAAGCAATATTCTTTCCACTAACGACAAGGATTGAATACTTACTTCATCATGCCTCTGCTGTATGACACACCTCCCTCCAGTGGATCTTCGGCTAGTGGATCACCGTCTGATGATTCGACCGAGGATTTCACGATACCCGAACTGCAGATGATCAACATTAACGTGCCGGAAGCGCACGCATCAAGGCATCTGAACATCGAGCTTGTCGAACAGCCACCGCCAGTCGTGCACATTGGGAAGGCATTCACCGTGAACCTCCGCGTTACTGACCCCGCAGATGCGGATCTGCCGCTGATCGAGCAGTATGAACAGCTGTATCTGGACGAAGTGGTCGTTCGAATCGTGGCTTGTGACGAGCAAGGAAACACAGATATCCTCCAATGGACGAGCGGGTTCCTCATCGCGAATTCAGAAGGTGGGAATTGCTATTTCGGTGACGTGGCGATCCAACAGCTGACTCCTGGTCAAGAATGCTGCCTTATGGTGGAGGTGCGAGCGAGGGGCTACTTACGGGCGGCAGTCGGCTCGATGTCGTTCCTACTTGCTGCGGGGGAGCTCGACGGACCTGTCGATGGAGAAGCAGTCGAGGTGTGATATGGGACGTATGTACGTATGAATGGCATTCATGGGATGAAGGAGTTTGTACGAAGTGATTTTGGTATCCAAAATTGACGTTGTCCTTGTATGTGGTAGGGTACTCTCGTAAGTTCTATTGGATTAATTAATTCCATTCATTGTTTTCTGCAACCCGGGGAAGTCGATTATCTTACTATCTGCAACTGTTATTCAAAACAGACCAGACCCTCTGCAATCGGTTTCAGAAGATCCTACTATTATAAAGGACATATAAGAATGACCTGACTGGAAACAGCTGTCAAGGAGGTATACCGTCATAGACTTGATAAAGTATACTGTGATAAAGGAAGGAATCGCAATAGGCAGCGTGGATTTTCTTTTTCACAGACTCCTGGATTATTCATCCTGTCTTAACTCAGATCACTGAGATGTCTAGGATTGCGTCTATCTCTGTCTAAGGTCTGGTTACGGACATACTGATCTAAAACACCAATAACAGCAACAGTCGTCGTATGAGATCTGTCAGACAAACAGGTTTTCTAGACAAGTAAAACCTTTGTTCAGATGAGACCACAGAACAAACATTCTCTTTGTCGGCTTAACGACAAAGCTCTCAGTGTTAGCCCAACGGTTTGCTGAGACACCGCTTTTAAATTAAGGGTTGAAACTATATCCAGTTGAGCCTGTCAGGTCTCGTACAACTATCAGCATAAATATCGGCATAAATCCTCATCGCTCTAAGCTGTCTGATCCTCATAAACTGTCACATTTATAAATAGTCTCGTCATCTTAGAAGTTCTACATCAGGTGCTCAGTCAGGAATGATATATAGTTTATTGTTTTGCTCCATCAACTTGCACTCTATGTCTAATTATTAGTCACTTACTCTTTGTTTGAATATATTTATCCACCAGGGCTTATACGCAGACACCTTCCGACAAGAAAGAATGGGACATTCTTTTCTTAATATAACATGGTTCTATTTGTTGGCAAAACATTCAGGTAGGCATTGGCAAAGAAGAGTCACTGAATTGATTCTAGCAATCTAATGAACAGGAGCGATTAGGGAAGAAAGTCTTCCAGCGGATTTCTACCCATATTTACGGAGTATGTTTATGGGAATACAAAGAGATTCATCCCGAGTCTTTATTTCCATGCTCTTTGACATTCCCAAATTGGCGGAGGATGTTGAGCATATCGGAACCTTCCGACACTATTCACTTCTTTTTCAACTTCGATACAATCCAACTCGCCTCGACATGAAACGGTTGTTTGGTTCGGTGACAGAAAAAGAAAAGCAGGGGATTAATCCACGGCAGTTACCAGCCAAAAATCGTTACCTCAAATATGACTATGTCGGTGACTCATATGGTCTACTGAACAATATACAGGTCGTTAACATGTCCTTCTTCTTCTTCTTCTTCCTTTTCTTCTTCCTCTTCTTCATTTTTATTTTTAATTTCCTTCCTTGAAGCATCTCTTCCTTGCAGCACAAGCTTCACCAGACAACATTGATAGTACTACCAGGCTATTTGACCAGGCACTGAACTCCTGAAGGAAAGCTATTGACTATCGAAAACACTCTTCCTACTTCTCAATATTGGCACCGACACTTGCCTACGCTCGTCGTGAAACCAGAACACACACATACACACACACAAGATGTCTGGACAACCGAATACTGGAGCAAATGAAGAGACACCTTCTGTACCTCCGATCAGAGGCAAACTAGTGGTTGAGTTTAAGCGGGAACTACCTAAAACTCTCACTGCTTATTCGCCTTTACCCATAGGCCTGTTGGTCGTGGGAGAGAACGAAGGAAATCCAAAGGAAAAATTGGGGTTTAGTCGTGACTGCATTGCGACTTATTCGGTCATTGTGCTTTACCGAGAAGAACTTCCACCTGTCGTTCGCCAAGAGCAACTTCCAGATATCTTTGATCAACAACTACAGAAGGGATGGTGACCTTTTACTTCAACAGGGCCTCTCGAAGGTGACGGTTATGGATCAAATATATCCATTGAAGACTTTATGCTCGGCCTTGACTTTGTGAATCGTTACTGTTACCTGGTGGTAAAGGTGAAGATGGAGTGTTTCTTGCCTGGCTTCGCTATCTCAGTACCGTTTCTTGTCCGTTTACCGTGAATGGTCACGGCTCAAGGACAAGCAACTTGCGGCCAGGCTTAATTAAGTGTGCATGTTTGTGTACTGTATATGAGTGTCCTTTCCTGTGCTCTTTGAAGGGATTTTGGTATGTGTGTTGATTTCATTTCATCATTATTGATTAAGGTCTTGCTTATCTCCATTCTTGTATGAGTACAATAAATCGCTTCATTGATTCTTAGTGGTTTTGATTTAGGCTTTGTTAGGGTAGCAGTGATCAGTTATATTATCAATCCTGGTTTCATACATAATCCCAGAAGTTTTACATTGCTATTTTTATTTGTGGGAGAAATAGACATTTATCTCTGCTATACTTAAAAGACAAGGCCAAAAAAAAATTAAGAACGGAAAAATGTAAATTAGTCCTTAACTTCCTTCCAATAATCAGTTTCCATTTCCATGCAATGCTAATCAAGTTTCTCGACCTCATTGGCAACCTCCATGGGCGAAGAAATAGAATTGATTAAAACATTTCTATTATCAGTGCCTTTCATCCATGTGGTGCATTCTAAAATTAGTTAAAAAAGGACCGAGAATACAAATGCTGCATGAGAGTAATGGAACAGACCAAAGAATCGGCGTATTCAACTGATATTGAAACAGGACACAAATAGAAAGATTTTCGATCTCTAGGAGCAGATTAAGGATTAGGTTTGGCGCATCTGTCCTAAGAAAAAGGCAGTAGAGTCGGTAGAAGAAGTTCAATACCAGACTCTTGAGAAAGTAAATTATCAAGTGCAAAAATGAGGCAACCTCCTAGTCTGCTCTCAGGAGGCAGAAATATTCTTTGTTCTTAAGAGAGCGGACTCTACTAGCAAGCCAAGCAGTCCGAATAATTGCTTAGATAGTCCTCGTCAGCTGAATATATCACTTCTATAGTCCCTTGAAGAGTCACTAGTAATTTCTACGTTTTGATATGGTCAAGTAAAAATCCAAAAATTTTCTAAGGCCCTATAAAGCCATGCGAAGCCTATTGCGAAGCCTCAAAAAAAAGCCTACATTATAGGTTAAATAGTACTTTATAGTGATATAGGGAGTTTTAGAGGGCTTTTTCCAGACAGAATTTTGTTTCTATTTCCGTTTACTGTATAAAATACATAGATAAGCAAAACTATTAGCTAATAGCCAGGGGAACCTCCGAGCAATTAAGTGGCAAAATAATCACTTTCTATATGATAGAGTCTAGAGATATAAGAAGCTCAACTACTCTGTAACATGGCAATGAATGTGCCAAAAACCTGACGAGACCTTACGAGGTCTCCGCAGGAGGCTCTGGAGCTGACAAGACGCACCAGGAAAAGGAGCATCCCAGCTTTAAGCCTGGATCGACCATTCGATTCCTCCCAGCCATGTGTGCGATTCAGTTATAGCTTCTGAAATAGGATTTCCAAGGTCCTGTGCCAGAGGAGCTGCCCCAATGGTCTAACCTTGAACCATACACGAAGTTAGTAATCTTAATTGATTAAGCCGCAGTTCAACTGGTCGCCACTATAATAGGTCAAGAGCTTGTTCATATAAGCCAGTTTTCATAAGACAAACAGCTGAGAAGCCATATGATGACTTTATTGATTTAGCTGGCTGCATTATTAACAAAGTTGATATTTACTGGGACCTTCATTTTTGAGAATAAGTTATTGCATGTGGAGGAAACATTGGATTTCATCAAAAGACGGTGGAGCCTCTATGGCACTCAAGTGAGTGATCTCGCGGTGATCTCGCAGTTAAAATGAAGCAATGGAGGACGACGCAAGAAATATTCCACGCAGTTGTGAAGATGAGGTGAGACCCTAATCTTCTGAATAGGGCTGTCCAAAATTCGATAGGAACTTCCTTCCTATCCCGATCTGAGATGAACACTGCTGGTAGTCCCCATCCAGCAATTGACCAGGAATCTACTAACCTTGACACCTATGCTTCTGCTGAGTTGAAATCATACCATGCAATAACTCCTACACTTTTGGAGAACTTGTTAGTAATAGTCAATCAGGTATCATTAAATATTTATGCTCAATTGTTAGGAGGGCAACAACAAAATCTATTACAATAGCATCCAATCCTTGGACTGAATCAGAATCAGGAGTCTATATGGTTTGTGGCACAATAATGTCTGATATATTAGATGATTTGGACAAACTTGAACATATTTCTTGAGACGCCAAGCCAGATTACGAATATAAAACTGAGAGACGATTCTGTGATACATCTTACTGAAAACTTGATGGGCCATCCAATTAACATGCTACCATTACAATTAGGCAATGCTGTAAGGTGCAACTGCAGTAGGTACTTGATAAAGCTATAACTAAGAACTTTCTGCTACATATATAGATAGTCGATATATATGACTGTTCTATAATGATGGACTACCCATATAATCTAAGGATGGAGTACCTATGAGCTTTGATGATGGAGTTCCTGTGTCGTCAAGCAACATACTCACCAGGATAACAACTAATTATATAATAAAATTCATAATTTCCCGTCAGAGTATGACTCAGCTTAAGGCAGTGGCAGCAGCAGGAGTGCGATTAGCGGCCCAGAAGGTAGTCAGAATCTCCAAGCAATAATAATCTAACATTCCGATCTCATCTAATGAAGCAGCACCATCTCCTTCGTTAAGAAAAATTTCTAGGGGAATAGACAATCAAACATTATATAAAACAAAGCATAGAAGACTATTAGAAAGAAGGAATTTTCCTGATGGAGAAAGGAGTAAAACTCTGCTGATCGAGGGGACTAATAGTAATTATCTCCTTGTGAACTTTCAACTATCTCACCGGTATTCTGACAATCCCGTCAAGCATCAAGCATATAAGCAAGAGCCGTACAAAAACTGACGCTCTTCGCATCCTGATCTTTTTTCTAGTAGCTGATGGCCGAGGATTAAAGACCTACTGTAGACCTGGCAAGTACATGCATACAAAACTAGGCGGCCTACGTAATAGAGTGCTCCCTTGCCTTCTCTATTGGGTGAGTTGTTACATATGTTTATTTAATATTGTATTTTTGCAAAAACGAAAAAGAAGATGATGATGATAATGACAGCAATAAATTCACGACCATGCCTAACTCACCTTCCTGATGAAGGAGAAAGGGTATCTACCTAGGTAGCTAGCAAATACAACCACGACTTATATATAACAGCTTTCTTTTTTCTTTCTGAGGGATACTTGATATATATATCTGTCAGTCAAAAAAAACCCCCAATAGATCTAGAATCCTGACTCCTACCTAGAGTATATATGTATGTAGAAGTAATTGCTCAAGCATAAATAAAAATAAATAAGTTGATACTAGTGAATAAAGAAAGAGAGGACGAAGATAGAACCTGATTCATTAATTAATCTATTCTTATAGAAATTGTTCTTTAATCATTGTCCTTATGTTCGTATTCCCTATATACTTATACAATGTGTTCAACGTTCACTGTTCTATGCTTTCTATTCTCTACTTTCTACTTTCTACTTTCTACTTTCTACTTTCTAGTCAAGCCAGACTAGAATCTACTAATTATACCTTTTTTATTTATTATTATCGGCGTCGAAAACGGAACTTTTATTTATAGACACACCTACGCATACAAATACCAACACACACACACACACACACACACACACACACACACACACATAAATATTTCCAATTTAGAAAGAACAAACAAATATTCATAAGAAGAACAGTTAATTAATCACAACATCATCTCAAACAACCCCTCGAAGCAAAGCAGTAAAGTTGGCGACAATCACCTACACAAAAAGCATCTTCAGATCATTCTATAAAGAACCTTACATATCTACTGCGTCTATATATCCCTCACAAATCCCACCTCAACCAACCTCTCCACATCCACATTTAGATGCTGCACCTTCGAGCGCGTGTTCTCCCTTAGCCAGAGAAAGAGTCCCAGAACGAGCCGGCGCAGGGCGTTCGTCTTGGGATTGATGCGGATTCGCAGCTGCTCCTTGCCGACGATGTAGATGACCTGTTCGAAGTAGGCTTGTTGGAGCACAGATAGAGGGTTGGAATTGGAGCCACTGTCGGATGTAGATGTCTCTTCTTCTTGTGGTTCTTCTTCGTCCTGAAGGTACCGCTGGATGTGGTCGAGGACTAACCAGCCCAGGTCTGGCGCCACTACCTCGTCTGTGTAGCCGTGGCGGACGATGATGCGGTAGCAGTTGGGTACTGCTCGCTTGACGCCGTCTGTCCCAGCTGCGTAGCAGCGGGTGACGGTGAATCGCTCATCTGGTGCAACGGTAGGCACCCCCAGCGGGCGCAGATGGAAGAATACAGTCACTTGGGGCATGGCGGTGAAGCGTTGCAGGAAATAGAGGAACACCAGCGGAGTGGCGGCCGGGTTGCCGGCCTTGTCGAAGAAGATGCCCAGGCCTTTGAGCGGGAGGATGTTGGAGCCGCCAAAGGTAGGATGCAGGCGCAGGTCGGCCTCTTCCAGCTGCAGCGTTTGAGAGAGCGGCACAGTGTCCATTGCCTCGCACTTCCACTGCTGTTCCTTGCCGAAGCGACAGAGAATGAAAATGCTGCACAGCACGACAGCCACCGCGAGGGTGAACCATGCGCCGTAAGGCACCTTGTTCAGAGCCGCGGACAAGAACACTCCATCCCAGAGAGCGAATACGACAAACACCGGCAAGACGAGATAGATGGGAAAGCGCCAGACAATGATTGCGACAACTGTCACCATGCATGTAGTGAGAAACGAGACCAAGATGACGCAAGACCCATATGCCTCGCCGAGTTTGGTGGTCTGTTCGCACTCGTCAGCCAGCCTCTATCCTGTCAGATGAAGAGAATCTTACATTATTGTAGACAGCCGTCACGATGACTGTGCCCACCAGCATGATCCAGTTCGCCAGGGGGACGTACACCTAATGGTGCACTATCTTGGGCGTATGGACCAATTCGATTTGGGGGAAGTAGGACAATTTCGTGATTTGAGATAGAAGCTAGATACTTTTAGTACTTGGATTGCAGATTCTCAGACAATATGTATAATATACCTGGAAAGAACCAGTGATGACCGCTTGGCTGGCCACGATGCAAGTAAGAATGGCCACGACCAAGCTGGGATAAAACATGCTGGGTGGAACGGTCAGATAGAAGGGTTTAGCGTAGGCAGTCGGCACGCGACTGATGTACGCTGCTTGGCCGATATACTAGGGCAATCAGTCGAGCAAGGCATTGAAAAGCGTACTAGAATAGAAAGACAGAGACCAAAAAAAAAAGGAACGATCGAGACATACCGCTAGTAACAAACACGGATACGCAAAGCAAAGCCACGACAACTGAATCGCTCTGTTGCAGTCAGCATACACTCCAGAAAGAGTAGAGTTATCGGAGTTGTTGTATAACCTCTTGCTAAACGCCCCCAGATCAGCAAACAGCGTTTCCACCCCGGTAAAGGCGAGAAGAATGCCGCCGATAGACAGCCAGCCATCCCTGCCATTGCGGACAAGATAGTTTCCTGCAAAGTAGGGAGAGAAGGCCTTCAAGACGGACGCATCGTAGCGTGCCAAATTCTGTCTGGTCAGCACTCATTCAGAAGCGAGGCCATGAAAAGCCAAGTTGAACAACAGCCAGACAATCACAATAGGAGCAAACGTCACCGCGATCCGTGCCGTTCCAAACGGTTTAATGAGGAAGATGACGATCAGAATGGCGCAGGATACGCCGACGATCAGCGATGTCGTGATATTTTCATTGACGACGGTCAGCCTGAAGATTGGCTCAGACGATTAGCTCAGAACGAGAGTCTGTAATCAAACTCACCCTTGAATAGCACCGAGAATGGACTGAGCAGGAGTGAGCACGCCGTCTGCGCGCTGTTAGTCGGATGATAGTTGCAAAAGTTCTACGGCTTACCCGCCAGCAACAGCGCCACGCCAAACGCTCCAACCACCTTGAACAGCCACTTCATTGCGGAGCTGTTCTCGATCATGGATCGGATACGGCTGTTAGGGCGAGGCATGTCGCCGGTGCGATGGCGCTCGATGCGGGTCATGGCTTCTTCGCGAGGGTGGCGAGTGACGAGGTGTGCCTGAGAAGATCATCAGAAGAAGTCATCATCATCATCAGCAGCAGCAGCAGCAGCAGCAGAAGAGGAAGACGTCATCATCAGACTGGATGCATGCGACATACATATCTCGAAATCAGCGAATACAGCGCAAAAGTCCCGCCTTCACCTTCATCGTCAGCATTCAGCACGATAAAAACATACTTGACGGCGACCATGATAGTCAGGGCGTAGATGATGAGCGACAAAGCGCCGAGCAGGTCGTCATAACTGGGCGGAGCGCTGAAGGTCGACGAATACACGTAGAGCGGACTGGTGCCGATGTCGCCGTAAATAACGCCGATGGATTGATAGGCGAGCCTGGTCGTTAGGTCAGGAATTGTCCTGCATGTAGATAGATGTATCTACTGACCAGACGACAGTCCATCCTTTAAACTCCTGTGCATCGTCGTAAGCAGAGTGGAGGAAAGCTGGAGCATGACTGATGATCTATCTACCTGCTTCTTCCTCAGATCCCGCTCGTCAAGAATCGTCTCTCCAGATGCGGTCTCGACATCAGAGACTTTCGTTGCTTGAGTTCTGAAGGTCTTCCGCTCCTTTCTTGAATAGACACCACCACCAGCAGAAATGACGGGGTGAATGTCGTCGGACGACATGCCAGTAGTCGAGCGTGGGACGTGACGAGATAGCGAGGAATGAACAGAACAAATGATATACGAAACAAAGAAGCAAGACCATGACCGGGGAAAGCGTATAGTATTACAACATAAATAACTAGGCAAATTCACTGTGTCTTTTTTTAAGCTGAGGTATCTAATTTGACATTGTCGAGTGGCTGTCATATAACCATCCGTTCATTCAGCTCAGCACCCACCTGTATGGTATATATCTAATTGACACGCCACGATCTGGAGTCCACAGAAGAAACCCATCACCGAGATAACGACGAGGTAATCTGCTTGAGAATAACCCAGGATTGTGCAATCTGCAATCTGCACTATGGAGTCATTTGTAAACACTCAGAACCGCGAAAAAAAAAAAGAGCAGCAAACAAAGGGAAATTACCCAGGTCTATACCTAGACACGAGTGAGAAGAAAGAGAAAAACTTAGGAAATACATAGCATACACACATACAACAATCATGAATCACGACCCCAAACTAACCCCAACCCCAACACCAACACTAACACCACAAGCAGTGGAACAACTCCAGATTCGAGATTCGTAATCAAATGCTGATACGAGGACACCATCGATGCCTAGTTCTTATCATATTGTGGAGAGTAACAGAGTAACAGATAATATCGATATCGACTTGTTCACTAGTAGCGAACTCGTTGGTTGGGATAAATCCCTCATACACAGAGTAGATACCTAGGTAGGTAGGTAGAGATTGCCGCTGATATGTACCCTGATCTTTCCGTTAGTTAGGTAGGTAATTAGGTAGTTGGGTAAGGTCGGGGAATTAGGTGCTCAATTTAATTAATTAATACCACGCGAGATTGATCGCATTGGAATAGCAAAAGGGGGAAAAAAAAACATATTTTTTTTCTCTTTCTTTTCTAGAAGAACAGAAAATAAATTTATACTGCTGTAAACATGTAGAATTATCGATTGAGATCTAGGTGTGATTTATGTTGTGCTAGAGAATCATTATTCATGTTATTGCAAGACGCAGTAAGAGTGCATGTTCTCTGCAGGTTAGATTTTAGAGCAGTCGGAGCAAGCAGTGGACGGCTTGTCTTGTCCGTATTCGGAATTATTATGCAGTCACTCGTATCTGTTGTATCAATTGGCTAGTTACAGCCCTCTCTCGCCAGCATCGCAGACAACAATACTATACACCCATTCCGAACGCAGAGCCTGCGACGCCGTGATCCTCCGGGTATGGTTAGGATCGAGCATCGCGTAGATGACATTTCGGCAGGATCTCTGCAGAGTGAACCGGGTCAGATATTAGCATCCTAGATATATAATGTACAATGTGATGCTCACCTCTTCCAGAGCCTCAATCGGCCCGAACGACTCTTTCGCGCGCCGCTTAACGTATTCGTCGTACTGGGCATCACCCTCCCTGGCGACGCTCCAGAAGACGTATCCCGTTCGCATGGCCAGGTATATGATCCCGCAAGCCCAGATATCTCCCGTCCTGAGGTCTACGCGTCGATGCGTATACACTTCAGGAGCGATGTAGGACAAGCTCGAAGGAGAGGAGAGATATCGCGGTAGGCGAGACGCATCGAAATCGGCAATCTTGACGCATCCGTTCGCTGTAAGCAGAATACTCTCCGACGTTAGATTCCCATGCGCAATCCCATTCTCGTGAAGATAGTCCACGCCTCGCATCAGCTGCTTGAAGAAGCAGTCGGCTTCCACCCGCTCCAGCTTGCCTGTGTCGGACGCCATCAACAAAGCAAGGAGGTCACCCCCTGCACAGAACTCCATGACGAGGCACAGATCGCCGCGATTGTTCCGGACGAGGTCGATCGTCTCGACGATGTGCGGGTGATCGAGAGCGGTCGTAATCCGACGAGGATCGACATTGCGGCAGGAACGACGGAAGACTTTGACGGCGTAGACTTGGGATGGCGATTTGCGGTACAGTCTCACCGTGGAGGTCTTTCCGTAGTGGATGATGCGTTTACAGCGGCCATAGCGCTCTGCAAAGGTTGCTGTTGTTTGTGGACGCGTGGGACGCGCTGGTTTCAGCAGGGCTTCCTGCTCGTCTGTCTGGACGGTCTTCCTGTGAAACCATCTGCAGAGCTTGCTGCTCTTGTTTGCAGTGAGATCGGGGCCCAGGATGTGGACATGTTTTCCCTCACTGACGACGAGTCTCTGGCAAGCTGGGATCTTCATGTGACGACGCCGAGGGAGGAACTTAGCTTAAGAGCGACGCGAACAGCTACCGCGGAGTGGAAATCTCCGCAGAGATCACAAACAGAAATGGTTACTGAGAAGCACAAGATAACACATGGTGATTGTGGAAGATACTCGTGTCTGAATATTCAAGAAGGAAAGAGGCTGAAGGAAGGAAGCTGCCATCCAACAGACGGGTAGAGAGTATTATATACTATCCCCTAGGAACAGTACAGTACAATCATCACAACCCGTCTAAGGCAACGGCCAGCCCAGCATATCCGCTGGTATGAGCGGTTTATTAGAACCAATCGACGAGTTTGGATCGCGACTGACAAGATCTGGACAAGCCTGCTAGCACCCTTGCCCCAGATCTATGCCGAAAGCTTTCATCTGACGTAATAAAAAACCAGAAAGGGAGAGACTATCTGTCCCCTGAGTTCTTGACCGCTACAAGAAATTCTACACCGAACCAGCCTAGGAACAGGCAGCGAGATTTCTTTGGGAAGGGATGAATTGTGGCAAGAAGACGTCGATAGATGGTCATCGTCATCGTCGTCCATGATATTCTGGAACAGGAACGGTGGGACCCGTCCCAGAGAATGGAATATGCCTCAGCGGGGAGAGGTAGCATCCAGCCAGAAGAAAGAAAAGTAACCCTTTTTTTTTCCATCTATTTTCGCATTTTTGGTCCTTTAGAAAAATGGAAGAAAAAATAATGAAAAAGTATTTCTGTGTGCGTGTTGTTATTTGTCTCCTATCTGAGGTACTAGCTACCTAGTAGATGCTAATAAATAAAACGTCTGTGCGTGCATGCATATGCAATGCACGTCGGGGCAATTAGTGATCAGTGCGGTAAGCTTAGCTCTAAGCAGGCGAGAGTAGAGAGCTAGGATTAATACTACGACTCGACAGATAGGCAGCAGACGGTAACCAACAAAAACGACAATGACAAAGGGAAACGCGGTAATACTCCGTATTTCCTAGGGATGCTAGGGGCGATTGCTCAGTCTGCCGTACTGTGCGTGTCCTTTGGATGACCGTTAGGCTTCGCAGTTTCCACCGCCTGGAGCTGCCAGTTTGGAATCAGCTCGGCATGCCGTCAGCGAGAAGAGCAACAAAATGAGGGATTTTCTGTTGCTTTCCGCCACGATTCCCCGGCCGGAACCAAGGAAGGGTGGAAAATCACCCGGATTCGGGCTGGTGGTGGCGGAACCAGACTGCAACGGTTGACTGGAATAGCCGTGACGAGGTACTGTACTGTAACCAGCTGAGTAGCAATGCCATGAGTCGTCATCCTCAGTCATCGTGCCATTGAGCAGGAGTTATTCCTCCAGAGTCTGTAGAAAATCAGATGATGTCATGTCTGTCTGTTCTTTGTCTACGCGGCAAATGAGACAAAGAAAAAAGATAAGCAAAAAGGAGGACATAAAGACAGCCACGCATGGCAACCATGTGCCTGCACGGTCCGTGGGGCGAGACAGAGATTCGGGTGGCCCAGAATAATCCCTCATCCCCGCCCGGCGCCCGATTCGGCAAATCGCTCGAGACGCACAACCAGCGGCGAATATATGGGGCGATGCTGCTCTCATCAACCATCGTGACAGATACCAAGAATACTCCCACAAAAAAAGAACGAAATTCCAGCAAGAAAAACGAGAAAAAGACACGCAAAAGCGTGAGAATTCAAGGTGAGGTTGGAATTTAGTTTTGCTGGATGCACGCGGAGCTCTTGGACCAGGCTTGGCAGGCACGGCTGGCCAATCAGCGCGCGCGACGATCATGTGGCTTGTCCGTCACCGCCCTAGCTGTATCGACAGTAATATAGTATTACGACGTTTCAAGTTGGCAGTTATCACGACCATGGCTGGTACGAGTGTGGCAGCCAGCTGGATGCAACTCACCAGAACAAAGAAATTTATAACAATAACATGAAACCACCGCTCCACGGACCGTAGAATCTCACAGCGCCAGTGGACAATTTCTAGTGTGTCGTAAGGAGTAGAAACGGTGCTGCTGATCGCACGGAATCACGTATAATTTAGCCCCAGACAGCAGCTAGAGAAAAGCGACATGGCTCCTGCTTGATTCGAGCTGCTTCGCACCTTCCTTTCCCGCGTCCCGTGCTGGCCCTCGCCCGGTCGCTCCTTCCTTCCTCGCGGTTGCCACCCGCACTACAAAAGCCGCCCACCGCCAACTTCCTCTTCTCTTCTCTTCTCCTCCCCCCCTCCCCCCAATTCCCGTTATGTCCTGCCTCGTTGCGCTTCTCATGTCTGTTCTCTAGCACCTGCTGGCGGTTTCTCGGATAATGCCCGGTTCTCGTCGTCCCTCCTTGTCGGGCTGCGACGAGCCCGACATCGAGGAAGACACCAAAGATGTCGAGGCGCGCGTGGGCAGAGCTACCACCATCACCTTCGAGCCTGCTGCCAACGATCCGCGCACCTACCACCGTCCGCGCCCCGCGTCTCGCAGGCGTTCACGCTCGCGCAGCGTCGACAGTCGGCGCAGCAACGCCCAGACATCGGCCGGCATTCCCATCGAGTTCCGCACCCTGTCCATCCAGATCTCCGAGTCGCAGAACGTCCCCGAGGACGTGCTCAAGACGCGCCAGAAGAAGGAGGCCTCCCCCAACAAGGACTACTTCGAGAGCCTTGACTTCCATCTCCTCCCTGCCGACCGTCTGTGCCAGCAGTTCAATGTCGACCCCGCCCGCGGTCTGACCAGCGCTGCCGCTGAGCGCAGGCTGCAGCGCGACGGCAAGAATGTCATCTCCAAGCACCACGAGAACTATATCAAGAAGCTGCTGCTCTATGTCTTTGGCGGCTTCTGCTCCGTGCTGTGGGTCGGCGTCGTCGTCTTCTTCATCTGCTGGCAGCCCTTGAGCAATCCACCTTCCGTCACCAACCTGGCCCTCGCCATCCTCGTCCTGATCGTCATCGCCCTGCAGGCCGGCTTCTCCGCCTTCCAGGAC